AACTTTCGAGTTAGAGTTTTGAGTAGACATATCCTTTTTGGGTCCCCCTCAATGGAAACCCAAAAAAGTGGTTTTCGAAGTGATGTCTGTGTGTGTGCCTGAACGTGGGGAGCAACCATAAAATAACGAAAATATAGGATTTTCTCAAAAATGGCCCGAACAATTTTGATACAAATTTAGTATGTTGTATCCCTTTAAATTCTGAACAAAATGGTACAACTGCTATTTCTGTAAAAAAATAAGGTAATAACAAAAAATCAGATTTTTTTAAAGCTGGTTTTAATCAAAATTAATAAGTTATGGTCCAAATAATTCTAAAAACATAGTACAACAACCCACTGCTGTAATAATTACGGTTCAAAAGTTATTGAAACTTTTGTGACTTAACTATAAAATATTATATTTACTCTCACTGCTTACTCTCACTGATAAAGGTTGTTGACAAGCTTATGGGAGAAAGTATGTGTCAGAATTCTGATACCGTTTATTTACTATGTGCACAAATTGTTGCTGGCTGAACGTGACTTCCCTCACTAACCACTAGTGTACTATGTCTATCGAACCCAAATTAATAAAGCTGCAATAATTTAAGTGATACGTTGTGTCCAGCCATGTATATGTGCACAATTTACTGTAAACGGAAACAGTGTTGCCCAGTAAAGATATGAAGGCATTTCTGGGAATAACTTTCCCAGTCACTTGAGCATGCAAAGAAGTCCTTATTGCGTGTTGTACTTGGCACCTGTATTGGCCTCTTGGCTATATAACCCAATACACAGTACACCGAATCATCAAAGTACTCAGTACAATCAAACAGGCAACATGGCATCAACAATCATCGTAAGTAAAACTACTTTAGCTCAAATTTAAAAATGGTTGAATGCTGGATTGTAATATTTTGTTAGTAACCTAGGTTTTTATTTAAGTAAGTTTGAATTTTACTATTGAAACTTAAGGGAAACGCTTATAACAACAGGTCAAATAACATTATTTAGTTAAAATATATCATGTTGAAAGTTCTTCTTCTCTAAAGTTCTAATTATGTTAATGGTTCACTCCCCCCCCCCCCCCCAATCTCTTGAGGAAAGCAAACTGTGCATTTCCGTAAGATATCTACTAACGGCAAAATATACTTTATTACATAAAAGTGCATGATAATGCATGTAGTTCTTTCTCTCCTTTAATATGATTATGCCTTTTGGTGTTTATATTTCCGAGGAGTGGAAACGGATGCCTTGACAATTTTGTCACTATTTGTATTACTACAGTCCCCAAACATCGGAAGGAGCCCCAATTATGAGTAATTTGCACTTAAAAAAGCAACTTAAAATTTGCACTATGTCAATTATACTTAGAACTACCAGTGTTTAGCATAACCATGTTATGCTAATTATGCGTGAAGTTGTTTTTTTTTAATCTCTTTTTAAATCATTATAGTTTTATATACTTGTCGTTTAGAATTACATGCTAAAAAACTATAACTTATGAAATAACTACATATATAATGAACTGTGAATTTTGACAAATCATTATTTGCTAGGGGGTCGAAAAAAGGAGTTAAACAAAGTATGAAATACAATATACTTACATGTATATGTAACTCAGCAGCTTGTGGTAGTGAAGTAACAAACAGTCATTTCCGTTGACTTTGATATTGTCGATAGCTTAATATTCTAGACAATCCTTATAAGCAATGTTTTTATTCAAACACAACATTTACTATTTTTTCTTGCAGATAACTTTGGCCGCCCTCTTGGGATGTATCGGCATCTCCACCACCTCCGCTGTGGTCGCCGCCCCCGCCGCATACGTCAATGCCGCCCCATACAACATACCACCCTATGCTGCTAGTGTCAACGTTGTGAACAGAGGACTAGCCGCCCCTTACGTTGCTGCCCCCTATGCTGCTGCACCCTACGTTGCGGCCCCCTATGCTGCTGCTCCCTACGTTGCCTCACCCTACGCTGCATCCCCCTACGTAGCTGCCGCTTATGCCGCTGCACCTTATGCTGCCGCCCCCTACGTTGCAGCTCCCTATGTTGCTTCCCCCTACGTAGCGGCCCCCTACGTTGCTGCCCCCGCTAAGTACGCTGCCGCTCCAGTTGTTGCCCCTGTAGCCCCTGCTCCTGTTGTAGCTGTGAAATAATTTGTTAAAGCTATAAAATAAAACTTTATTATATAGTATTTTTGTGCTAATTTTCACCTGAATTTGTTTAGTTTTCACCATAAACTTAAGTTTCATATTATTATCAGAATACTTTACTATTCCTATTTTTACTTGCTTGATTATTGGACCCTTATTCACATTAGAAAATTTTAAGTAAGGTAATATGGAATGAAAAACTCGTATCACCAATGTCTTCGTGTGCAAAAACGAGTGTTTACAAATATTTTATTTCTTTAATACTTAAAAAACTAAGAAAATTGATTGGTTTATAAACAACGAGGCCGACACAGTTGATGAATAATACGTGTGTAATACATTGATTGAATACATGAATTTAGACATAAATTGTAGCAGTGTTACATTTTTTCACGTTTTTCACGTGTTCTTGTTGGACTATGCATATCACTTTGAAAACCTATTAGAGTATGTGAAGTAAAATTTCCAAATAAGAGTCTTATGATGAATAATGTTTTTCAACTAGTCGATTATAGTATATTTTTGCAATCAGCTATTGATTTGATCCATAGTCAACTTGAAAAGACTTTATGTATATGTAACATGCTCAATTCATGTGTTTTTTACAACGTGCCAAGCCGAACAATATTTAAATACTTTTAAATAGTTGGTATTGCTATTATTGGGATTGAGATTGAACTTGTTTTCAAATATGATAAAAAGTGCAAGCCAGATTCAAATTATAATCAACGCTTTAATCTTTTTTATACTATACATTGTGGTACAAAGGGTTTATTTGGAATATGCAGTATCCTAAATCCAGTTGAAATGCCTTGTTTTATTTTGTTTTTTTTTGTTTTGTTTTTTTACCATCCATATTTTTGGGTGTAACTTGTGTTGAAGTTTAATGTTGACGTTTGTGATATGGAGGATCTTGTGAAAACCATCCCGCTATTAACGCAAACTTAAAGTGAGTAAACTCAAATGGGTCTTTTAACAAGTAATACTTATCAACATTTGTACTATGTAAAAAACCTTAATTATCTATATGTACAGTATGAATTAGTTAAACATTATTACGTGTAATAGAAAATGTATTACTTACTTTGTTAGTTAAGAAGGATTAAATAAGCTAATTTGAAATCTACCTCTTAGCCTCTTTATAAATTAATCATCATTTACATGTTTTACGAAGGCCTTATAAACAACTTTGAAAGTAGAGTTGACGTCCCAATGCCCAGTAATATTTGCAGTTAAAACAAATCAAAGATATCGTCTGCCGTGTGTAACTTTTTTCTTACATTCAGCTAGTTTTCTTGTATTTTGCCAGTGATTAAAACGCATTCAAATGTACACCTAGTTGTCCATACCTATCAATAACCCAACACTAATCATAGAATTTTATTATTTCAACTTACTATTAAACGGACATTTACAAATTAATCTCGGTCATTTGCATTTTAATGAATTTTAAGAATTAAAATGTCCTTTTAATAGTTTAAAGTCTGTTAAACATCATTAAAAGTGAGCTGCAAAGTGTTGTTCAGGCTGCGGTAGAGTCAATGAGTGCAGCAACCTCGCCGCATGCACTTGACATTCTTGTTCAGCTTCTCGTGTGAGCTGAGATAATTATTATTCGATATGAAAATAAACAAAAAAGTGCATTATATTATAACATATGTAATAATACATAGTATGTCCCTGACTAATTTTATTGGCCTTTGAATATGTACTTTGGTGAAATAATGTATAATTAGATTTTTTTAAAGCAATATCTTTACAATTTTGTCCTCGAATATTCTATCGGGAAAACTTTCATGCTACCAGGAGACGAATATGTTGTTTGATATAGAATGCAATGCGCTTGTTACACATGACGAGTAACACTTTGTATGCAGTGATACGTGATATACAATAATGGTAAGCCATGATCAGTTTAATGTAATGAACACAATTTTAAATTAAATGTTGTGTTATATAAATGTCGTCATTGAGGGTCAGCCAATGTGGATTGTAATTGCTGCAGAAACCAATTTATTAACTTACATGGTGACAATTATTAAGTCTTAGGACGAATTTTTAACTTCTCAACGAAAAGAGTTATGACAAACAAATTTGGCATATCATTACTGGTAATAGTAAGCTACTATTTTGTGTACATGGTGATCGAATGTCACCTCTGGGCGAAGGCCATAAAGGGAGTAAGATGAAAATCTTAAAAGTAAGCATAGGGTGATATGTAGATCAAATGACAGGTTTTGTTAAAAAAAAACCATGTCACAAACTAGACCTCAAATGGACAACAGTATGACAGTCATTCAAAGATTTCTTGAATTTGACATTTTGAACGCTTAAATGGCTGCCATTTTTTACTCAGTTGATCTTTTTGACACAAATTTTTGGCATTGTATTCTATTAATAAAATACATTTAATTTGATTTGATGTGCATATTGACCTATGATTACGTTTATGATTTTCTTCCATCTTGTAGCGGGCATCTTGTCCGCTGCGGATGTCCGTCTGAATAGGTAGCGTATAGCATTGCAATTTCAATGCATCTATGGACGGCTGTAACTTTTGACTTGAAATTTTTAGTCCAGTTCGTGGCACTATTTTTAGTTCAACAATACCTTTAATTTAATGTACATTTAAACCTTTGCTTACCTTTAAGATTGTCTACTTACTCCATAAGGGCCGTACCGTACCCCACAGGTGACATCTGATCACCATGTACACAAAAAGTACCTTACTAATGATATGTCAAATTTGGTTGTTCCTTCTCTTTTAGTTTTTAAGTTACAATGTCGTCCTAAGAGTTAATTGCCACCCTGTGTAAATTTCCAAAACAAACTATTAGGAGTAATTATAAATACCAAATACATTACAAAAACAACAACACGTTTATTTAGTGTAATTTACACTATGATACATAGCAGTAGATTACATCAGGAATACATTTGTACTAGATAATAGAAACTATACATCACATGTGTCTATCTTTTAAATATGAACGGAGGAAAGACAGCAGACCCGGGTATCGTGAAGGGAGGGTAGGGAGAAGGGATGAAAGAGGAGTAAAAGGGAGATGGGAAGAATCCTGGGGGAGGAAGGGGAGCGAAACCCCGTGGAGGAAACGCCGAAGGAAAGAAAGGTCCAGGCAGAGCTGGAGGAAACGTCCCTGGGTAAAAGGAGGGGAATGCTCTAGGAGCTACTGCTGGTGTTACAGCTGGAGGGGGTAGTCCTGGAGGTGGTAGAGCTGGGGGTGGCAGAGCTCGTGGTGGCAATACTGGGGGTGGTAACGCCGGGGGCAGGAACGCCGGAGGTGGTGGCGGAAACGGAGCAATGACTGGATACTTCCTAGGAGTTACTAGGAAATCTGTTCTAGTGACGTAGGGTGGTACTGCTGGAGGAGCTGAGTGGACATACCCCGGAGCCACCGACCCCAGAGTGCAGGAACAGCAAGACATCAAAATGGCGGCGATTAGAGTCCTCTGAAAATGAAAATTGGAATATCTTAGTAATGTTATTTTTTGTTTCTCATTACCATTGTAATTTGTAAATATAAACCACTGAATTGCAAATGATTATCTGTTACTTTGTTCTTTTCTTTGACTTCCAAATTTGCCAAACCGGTAATTGTAAACTTATCGGTTAAGTAACTTATCGGTAATCAAACTTGGTTCGTAACAATTCCTTATAAAAACTTGTTTTGAAATCGAAACATTATTTATGTTAAAACTAGAGCCAAAGATACGACTAAATAATTTAAGATGTGTCAAAAAGATTATATTGCATACAGTACAACATTACAATAAAGTTAAAGATACATTAGTTCATATTTAGCATGGTGATGGTAAACAAATTTCACACTAACAACTTTGATGAACGTTAATACAGAACCAAACTAATTCTTATATGTGTTTAAGTAATTGATTACAACAATAAAACCTCATTTAATTGTCCTGCCAGATTTTAGCTCGAAAATGAACGGAAAATGATACAGATTTAAAACTACAATTAAAAACTATGTTAAGTTGGAAAACAGCTATAAACATATCATTCTCTATGGGGAAACATAACTCAAATCAATCTGTAGAATACATCAAATTGTTTTGTATTTACATCAAAATAAACCAAAAGTTAACCTCTGTATTGAGGTGTGGGCAGTGAAATTTCATTTCATTGGAGCATTAATTGCCTCCCTCTGTCACGGGTTTTTATCAACAACATTCCTTGAACACTAGTTTAATGTCAGGGTTAAATGAAACCTATATATGAATGGTGATTTCAGAAATGTATTGGTGAAAGGTTAAAGCTTGCAATAGTTGTAAAATGAACAAGTATTGAGTTACTCAGTAGCATTTTAAAAGATGCCTTTGAATATTCTCATAAAATCATTGCCATCTGAGCTCTCTTAATCAGAATCATATCATTGAAACTCTTGAATATAAAAATAGAGGTATTTTTTATGGATTCAATGTCTATCATATAAGCAGCGTACTTACACTTTTAAATGACAAAAAATATCTCATATTATGTTATAATTTTTCCTAAATGCAGTTCGTGGTTGTTAGTTATAATAGCTTATAGTAAATTGAATAAGTTCTAAGTTTCATGATTAAGGTAAACAAAAAATAATCTTTTAACGTGTAAAAAAATTTTACTTTCCTAGAACATATTTAATTGGCAAAGGAGCTTTATTTAATCGTAAAAAGACTCAATGTTAAACTCTACGTATTTTTTTTTAATCCGTTGAATATTGAACGTTCTCAAAATAAAACGGTTGAAATAAGTGAATTTGGCTGTATTACAAGCTAAACCATCCAACCAATTTTTGTTTCTTGGTAAAAATATTTTGCTATACATAAAGTTAATATTTATACTCTTTCTACTCACCATGATTGTACCACTTGGCTGCCCCAGGTTGTATGTGCCACTGTCGGGAAGGTGTAGTACATATACCTAACAACACTTCCGTACCAAACCACCGTCGAGCATCCAAAGTAGCCAAAGTTATCTAACCCGGGCCACTTTCTGTCGCCCTCTCGCAATCTAATTAGTTCTCTAAGTGTCACTTTTGGTTAGTGAATCGGGGGGTTTTAACTTGTAGAATCAATTTTGTGTGTTAAATAACCGTGGTAGTTCTAATTGTGTTTGGTGTTTTTAATTTCGTTTAAAATGTGAACATATAAAAATTTAGATCAATTTATCCTACACATTTTTTTATCATCACAGCCCAACTATAGAATAGTATTAATACGTGATTAGTATTGATATTAAAAGTGTCAACGGCAAACTAAATTTTGTAACTTACAGTGAAATAAAACATGCATAAATTCAAGGCAATATATAGGTATAGTACTTGGAAGGAATGAAAAAGAGTTGTCTTAACATATAGCTATAATTATGGTAATGTATCAACAACAGTATAATGTAAGACTAAATTACTTAGCGTAATCCCGTCACAGCTCAACAAAATGTGCCAATTAGGACTTTTTCGGTGCTAAAACACCATGGTCAGTTTCAGGCACTTGTAGAGTTGATCAGTTGATAATATCGTCGAAAGGTAAACATGATCAAAACTAAGATAAAACCTCGACAGAATATTTTATATTGCAGACAGATCTTTATATTGTTGTTAACAGGGAACTTTAACGCTCCTTTCACACTATACGATTTCGCTCGTACGATTATTAATCGGAGTTGTAGTCAACCATTGGAGCTTATGGCTCCTTTCACATCATGTGAATATTAATCGCGTATGATTTTCTAGCGACCGCAAGGAAGACTTACAGTCACGTTGGTGTTTGATTGAAACCAACTGAAACAAAAAGCAGGAAAAGTCTGTCCAGCTACCTAGGTTGACTCAGCTATCTAAGGTTCGACTCATAATTTCGAACTTGATTAGCCCTAAAAGAAACAACACTTTAAAAATACAGAGTGACCCGGAACTCTCCACAAATATTTTTAGGGCATTGCTCCTGGGTAAGAAACATATATAAATATCATATTCAAAATGTCCGGAAGTCCTTAGTTACTCTCACAGCCACCATTTTGTTTTTTTTTCAGTTGTTAACCTTTTTCTAAAGAATGGTTAAACGTACGAAATAGAAACTTTGCACAAACATTTATGACAACTGGACAAAGCTACCAAAATATTATGACGATTTTTCAAATTTACAAAACAAAATGGCGGCCATTTAAAATTTTGTTTCTTAAATAACTCAAAAACCGTTGATTTTACAAACATTTTACAAGTATAATTTTTTTTAGGCAATTTCAAATCTAATGACACATTATTTTTTAAGATTGGACAATACGAGTATTAACTGAGATATGGCAACTTTAGTGATACGTGACCGCTTTCAGTATGCGCTGCAACTGACCTCCAGCGGTCACGTATCACTCTCATGTCTCAGTTAATATTCATCCAATCTTTAAAATTAAGGTGTCAATTGTAATAAAATCGCCTTAAAAAAGTTATTCGTGTAAACCTTTACACAATTACAGACAATTAACAGTTTTTGAGTTATTTAAGAAACATAATTTTAAATTTTTTGTTAGTTTTGTCTAGTTGTCATAAATTTTTGTGCAAAGTGTCCATTTCGTACGTTTAACCATCCTTCAAAAAAAATTAATAAGTGAAAAACAAAATGGTGGCTGTTGTGAGTAAATAAGGACGTTAAATGTGGTATTTAGATATGTTTCTTACTCAGGAAAAAATCTCAAAAATGTTGGTAGAGGGTTCCGGAACACCCTGTATATAAAAATTAACGATAGTACTATATTCTACCTCAATAACCACACAGAATACTGGTGAATAAGGTTATAAGGTTGAGAATAATTTAGTTTGTTTCCAATCGTTAAGCACTTGGGATTAATTACCAATTCTCTGTATCATAGAATCGTTATATTAATCTGTTGCATAAATTATCGGATTTTTATAAAAATAACATTGTTGATACCAAGAATAAATAGATCAGATGATTGTCGTCTAGCTTATAAAATATAATATCTTTTTAAACAAACAAAAATATATTTCTATTAACCTGTACCACACTACCTACTAACCTGTATTACCACTCGTACCATGAACATCAGAACAGAAGGTATTCGTGACTAGTACCGAAAGATGTGAATACTTACTTTATCTAATAGTTTAAATGAGGCATATACTGTTCATTTTATTCATTAATTTATCATTACCGGATCGTCATATTCTTTTCTTGTTATACTTAAAGAATTTACATTTGGCTTGAGATGACAAACTAGCATCTGAAACCAAACTATTCAGCTCGAATTAATCAACTACACTCTGAAGTTTATGTGTAGAAAATAACTTGTGTCCACTGGGAAGTGAGACAAACACAAAATATTGGGTCAGACACAAATATACGAAATATCACTAGGCTACACATAGAAAAATGATCCAGGAAAACATTGTTAGTTTAAAGATATCTACGATTTAAACAATTTGAATAAACACCTAGAGACAAAAGGGTAAGGCCAAAACAATATGTTTCATATCACAATTCACATTTTGTGAAACAACTAGCCATAAAAAGCAAAACTAATAATTGAATCTCTAAAATGTCCAGTTCCGTAACAAAACCAAGAGTAGGATCAATTGAGGCGCGCACGACCCTTCCTCCATGCCTTTCCAAGTTCCAACACACATGGCGAGTGTGAGATACGATCGACCACGTAAACGTTACGTGTTGTATCACACTTTCTTCGCCAAAACTGCAATATTACTGTTGAGTAAACTACAGTCAACTTATTTGAAATATTTAAATTGTTTTGTTATTTATTATGAAATTAGCGAGGAGCGGAGTTTTACAGTTACCTGTCAAAGTGGATCGCCTTGCACTGATTATAGCACACAAAGTAGCTAATTGTTGCATTTACTTAGTTTTGCCACACTCATTGTTGTTTTGCAGCACTCATTGTTTTGCCGCAATTCAGTATTCAAATCAAACAACAAAAAACAGTGTACGTTTATTAGGCACGAAATACGTGTATCCTTTGAAAATAAGTTGGCAACACTTAGAGAGAAGAGAGCCAGTCACAGAATGCGCTAGTAACTAAAACTCTATTTTCTACCAAATTTTTCCTTGCCATATTGATGGGTCCCAAAAGTTGATCCAGCTCATAATAGGCAATTCCATTAGTTTGAATAACTAATAAAGATTGTTTATTGGACAGACATTAGTGATTAAGATCAGCGCAATCTGTCAGAGGCTCACATCAACTACGACGATTTTGGTAAATAATAACAAGCTACAAATTTATATGGGGATGGAATGTCTAAACCTAAAAAGTGCCTTAAGAAAAGTGCCTTTGCTGCACTCGAGAAACTTTCCCCATACTAGTTACACAAATAACTATTCCTGTAAGACCAGCTTCGAATCCCGAAAATTCCCAATTGCTAGGGCCATTAAAATGGGCCTATCATGGATATTGTTCGGGTAAGGTACGTGATTTGGTGGGCAGGAAGCCTTATTCAACATAAGGTTCGCCTAACAAGTAAAAAATATAAGTCCCTGTGGCATGGAAGTGTATCTAATAGAGATGTCCCTTTATGAATGCCCCCAAAAAATATATATTTTGTTAAGTATAAGGATATTTGAATAAGTTATTGAGTGCACTGTGATATTTTTAGCATCGTTTAGATTTATGTAAAAATTACATTTGTTTGTGCTCAGCTCACCTCTGTTAACAATAATATAACAGTAATATTGTTAACAATAATATATAACTCGTAATATTGATTACGAACTGTCAAAATATTAGAGATAGCATTTCGTGCATTCATATTGGCATATTATTTAAAGGTTTGGTCAAAACCAGTTCGAATATCAACGTCTTCTTAAAAAAACCGTATAGCCCTTCTCTTTTGGGCAGTTAGGTATACGAACACCTGACACCTTTCATTTGTTCAATCCGCATACGGTTTCAGTCTTAGAGGGGCTGCTGAGAACAAAAGTACATCTCCATGATAACTATATGACAGTGAAAAGGCCAATAAAAATTTAACCCTTTGGCAAAATCAAATAAGGAGTTTTAGATCAATGTAGTTGAGAGATAGTAGTAGATCAAAGGTTGAACGAAATATTTGCTATATGCTACTTAGAGAACACATTTTTGTATATTTTCACACGCCTGGATGAAATTCCTCTTTAAACAGGCCGGAGGATGATGATACGGTTACAATAGAATGTCTGATTACGAAATAGGAACAGCTCGTGGCGGGAGCTCTGACCGCGGTGCGTGTGACCTTGACGTCATCATTAGCACGCAGACGCCTGCGTAGTGCAGCGGTCACTGCGGCTGCATAGTGCAGAAATGTCTACGCATGCGCACAAGTGCTGTCCCGTACCGTCAAACGCACGCACGTGTCCACTAAAGGACGAGCAAAGAGAAGTGGATAGCTACTCATACGTTCTTCACTGGCCTTCACTGGCCATGCAGTTTTGTTAAGTTCATCTATATGGTTGCAGGATTTAAGTTCAAACCGAATGAATTTCAAACCCGTTTCTGGTGATCTTTCTCAATTTCCCCTACAAATTTAGACCTTTGGATCCTCTCTGCATTTGGTACCATCAACGAGGATAAAAAGCTGATGAGGAGTGCTGCGATGATGGTTCTCTAATTGTAACCCAGTCTAAATCGATCATCTTTCTATTGAACTTGAGATAGATATGTTATTGAAATAGGATAGTGCCATTGATTATGACGGTGAACATTACTTAATTACCTTTCCAAACATGACCACATATTATTCTAATAATTATTATCATTTTCAAATTTTTAATTTGCAATAATTTTAACCCCCCCCCCCCCCAACAATACAAATGCAAAGGTATTACTTTGCAAGGCAATCTACCTCTTAAGCTATATCAGTTTATTATGCAG